ATCGTCCTCATCGTCCTCGTCCTCGTCTTCATCCTCATCCTCGTCGTCGTCGTCCTCATCCTCGTCGTCATCCGACTCTGACTCCGACTCCGATTCCGATTCCGACGATGACTCTGATGCTGGCAACAGCAGTAGACCCACGAGCACATCGCAGATCATACTCGATGCCCTCTGCAATCTGTACTCTAAGCGTTACCTGAGCGAGCGCATGACAATCAACAAGCCTACCCAACTTCTTGATTTGCTGCTGAAGGACTGGAAGTACACCCGCCCAGAGATATTTCGCAGTTATCTCCGTGTCACACCAGCATGCTTCGACGACCTAGTCAAGGCTATCAAGGGCCACGCAGTCTTCCACAACAACTCGAACAACAAGCAGGCCGACGTCGACATACAACTGGCAGTTGCACTATACCGCCTCGGGCACTACGGCAATGCTACGAGTACTATGAAGGTCGCTCTGCAGTTCGGCATCGGTTACGGTTCAGTCCAGAATTACACCGACCGTGTTCTGGCTGCTATCAACGACAAAGCTTTCAAGTCTTCGGCGTTGCAATGGGCAAGGAAAGTGGTCCCACGTCACCGCGCGGTTGACCGCGAACGTTCTCTGCTCTTGCCATCACCACGAAGCTGACAAGCCCGCACTGACGGTGTCTACCTACTCGTTGCCATACGATGATTTGCTATTTCGCACCATTCAGCTTCAATATATCACTCATGACTCTAGAATGATACATACTATGCAAGGAATGGGTCGCCACAGCGCGGCGAAGGTCCGCGCTCTCGGTCCCGACCTTGCCAACTTCTATCAAAGCTTCGCCTATCTCGCGTCCCACTACCTTCGATCTTTTCTTCACCGCACGCGCTCAATTCCAGTACTAGCTCTGGCTGTGCTAACGGTTGATCTACTACGTTCTACACTCGTTGCTATGCGCCGTGCCTTGCGCCAAGGCGTCTCGGAAAGACGAAGCCGCTATAGATGCTGCAAGGGGATATGCTCTGCTTTTTTCCTGCAAAGTTGGGCGCGATACTCGGACACAACGCCACTGCAGCTTGACTGCGCACATTGCTGGAATGTATACGGAAATGCTTGACGGGGAGGATCTGTCGATATGCCGAGCCCTCCGGCAGCTGGTCGCCGAGACAACATGCCCGAAACGTCACTCTCTTAAGCGGAGCAGGCTTGGACACAACCGATACGATGACGGCGAAGCATCTCATCTCGTGAGTCCCCGTGCTTAAGCGAGGTGTTGTGTGATGCTTGCGCCCACCGCCTATACTTTGAATGTCCCCCATTCAATCACGCGACCGTACGCACACGGTCAAAGTCCGTGTATGAATTTGCGGACATCGCCGATACCGCCAAGACTCTCTACTAGTTGTAAGTTGAACTTGCGCGCCCGTCCGAGCGCTCAGCGCCCTGCCTAAATGCCTGATATATCCGATAGCATATACAAATCTCGGGAATCCTGTACCGCTACACGCACGGGGTCGATTCGTTCTCTATCGCAACAATGAGATTCCTTTCAATGGCGGCCTCAGTTTGCCGTCCTTGCTATGTCAAAGCAAAGTATATAAAGCGTGAGCGAAGATGCATTCTAGTACCTCAATCACGACATCTTCCTCTTCGAGTCTCACTCTTCAATCTTCTTCTGACTTCTTACTCTCTATTCATTATTTCTAGTATGCAGGCTCTTTTCGCTTTCGCCGTTTCAGCCATGGCCCTCTCCGCCATGGCTGCTCCTACTGAGACCCCGAGGGACTCGAGCGCGACGTAAGATGCATATTACAGACGTGAATGCGATTTGCTGACGTCTTCGCAGCATCAGCCCCGGTGCAACCGTTGAGTTCCAGCTCTACAACTCGAACTTGTGCATCGGCACCCCCGACGTCGCGTCCACCGTCGGCGCGAACATGTTACTCACGCCCTGCGGCACCTCGCGCACGGCCTTCGAACTCCCCAGTGACAGCCAGTCGACGCAGCTTGCGTTCATCTCCAGCTCTGGGTCCACATCATGCGTCAACGCTCGCAATGTTGCCGTTAACCAGGCTGTGTTCCTCGATGTGTGCGAGGACGACGCATTTGAGCGTTGGCGCATCGTCGCCGGCCTTGGGCTCGGCCCTATCGTCTCGAACGGCGCGACCGATGGCACATTCTGCCTCTCGGCTCCTAGCAACACCGAGGGAAGCCCTGTACGTACATGTCAACCGGCATCGATTGCGGCCTTCTCTGATCTTGGTTTCGCGCATAGGTCACCTTTGGGTCTTGCACTGGTGGTCTCAGCCAGCAGTGGACTACCACCCCTCTCGTGGCCCACGGCAACTAAATCGTTGGGGGGCCACCCGCGTTTCCTCTTTGACGGCGCGCCTAATGCTCGATGCTCGGCCTGAGCTTGTGCGCGGCCTCTTCCTGTATCGCATCTTCCACGTTTACTTCCTATCTCACGAACATTATTCTACTTCTTGGAACCTTGACACTTCTGGACTTTATAATATTAGCTACAGTTGTAGTAGCCGTCCACTCGTTTCATGCCGATGACCATTATACATTGCTGATGTCGAACTCTGGGAATGTCAGTATGCACAGCTAGCCGAGACAGCACTCCAACCGCCGTGGACGAGGTTTGATCCTCAATTAACATGTGAAGAAACCCAGCAATAGGGGTGCTGTATGGAAGTCAATAAGGCAACTCGCTGCGCGCTTGATCAGGATCCATGATCGCACGCCACCGCGGCCGACCGCGCGCGAACGTTCTTTGCTCTCGCCATCACCCCGATGCTCACGAACATAGAATACAACACCTAGCCAACAGATACAAAGCCAAAGAGCTCAGCCGTAGCTCTATCTTATGGACGTAGGGAAGTGCGCAGCCCGTACAGCTCGTCTCAGCGTTAGGTAGCGCTATGCAGACTTGGACAGCGTTGGCAACACCGACTGGTGAAGAAGATACCGAAGCAGAATATTACGTAGGTAAGTGCGCGCTGAAGCAACGCCCTAGGTGACCAATGCTTCTTTGTGCTAATCGCATACGCGTTGAATCCGCCCATTAAACATGCGCCCGTACAGTTGTAGCCCGTGAATTAACTTCTCGCGGATCGCCGACACGATTCAGTGCAGTCAAATGCCTTCTTCGGGGAGTCTATGTACGTCTGAGCGCTCAAGACCCCACCAAAACACTGTGATGGCCTCTGATATCTCCGTACACATGTACAGAGCACCGGTGATCCGGAGCTCTACTCGCGGTGGCGATTCGTTCGCCGTCGGCCCTTCGTCGCCGCAACACAGAGTTCTTACTTACTCGGGGTTTTGCCTAAGCGAAAGACGTCGTACACGCTGTAGAGCTGGTAGCCGTATATAAGACGCGTTCGCTCGACTGGGGCTGACCATCCCCAACAGTCTCTCTTTGAGTCTTTCTTCCGAATCTCCTTCCAATTCCTCAACCTTTCTATTCCACCTTCGCAATAATGCAGGCCCTCTCCGCGTTCATCGTCTCCGCTATGGCTCTCTCCGCCATGGCTGCCCCTACCGCGACCGCCACTGGTGCCTCTGCTCCGGCCGCGACGGGTATTCCTGCGTAGGTCTCTTCTCTTCTTCGCTTATTCTCAACTTACTGACGCGCTTCCAGTATCAGCCCAGGCTCAACGGTCCAGTTCCAGCTCTACAACACCGACGTGTGCATTGGCGCTCCCGATGCCACCTCCACCGTTGGCGCGAACATGTTGCTCGCGGCCTGCGGCTCTGAGCGCACCGTCTTTGAGCTTCCGACTGGCGCTCCCACCGACCCAACTCAGCTCGCGTTCGGCCCTAGCCGCTCGGGCGCCAACGGTCCCATCACCTGCGTTAACGCTCGCAACGTCGCTGTCAACCAGGCTGTCTTCCTAGATGTTTGCGAGGACGACGCGTACGAGCGCTGGCGCGTCATTGGCGGTTCTGGCATTGGCCCCGTCATCTCGACCGGCACCGGTGCGAAGAACGGCACGTACTGCCTCTCTGCGATCAGCAGCACCGAAGGAAGCCCTGTACGTACTATTGTTCTCAGTTTCTTGTCCACTTCTAATCGTGCACGTGTTTCAGGTCGTGTTCGGTTCTTGCACCGGCGGGCTCACCCAGCAGTGGTCTACTACTGTTCTCTCTACGAACTGAGCATCGCCGCGGGGGGTCGCGCCGCAGTCCTCTTAATTGCGTGTAGCACCTGGCTCGAGCTCGCGCTTTGGCCTGCATCGCGTCTTTCACGACCTAGTCCTCTTCAATTTCATTTCTGGATATCGCTTTACTACTTGCATCCTTAATCCTTTCGGACATACCAGTTTTGGCTGCTTTTGTACTAGCCATCCGCTCGCTCCACTTTGACGATCAACCGTTTTTGATACCCACGTTCACAGTCCCAGTGGCCTCGCACACTGGCGGCAGCTTGCTCGACTTGCTGCATGGTCGCCCCATACGCCCGAGTCAATGAGCGAGACACGGTGAGCGAGACACAGTGCGGTTCATATCGAGTGGCTGGTACCTGGCAGAGGGTTGCCTAGCGGAAGCCATTCCATAGCCGCCAGGCTTCATCAATAACGTACAAACAAATCCATTCTATAGCATGTTTCAAACAGATGCAGCAGCACTTCATCACGCGGTGGCAGGCTGAACCCTAACATCATACGGATCCTTCTCTTTCTCCGCAGAGCTCCTATCTCGTCCAGCATCTTCAGTCGCGCTCTTCTCGTCGTTATCGTACTCATAGCGTTGGGCGTAGACGTCATCGTGTCCGGATGCATAGGCTTTGGCGTCGTCAAGGTCGAGAATAGGTGCGGCGAGTATGGTTTCTTGGGCGGGGAAGGCGAGCGAAAGGACGATGTAGACGCCAGAAGCGACGAAGAACTGCGAGCGAGATCAGCGATGTGAACCCACAAAACGGTCAGATATGAGGCGTACTCCGAAGAGATAGGCGACGTCGAAGACATACACCGCCCCGCCGACTGGAATGCTTGGAGTGATACTGTGGATCAGTCCGGGCAGATTCGGCGGCACTGAGCAAATAAGAGCCACGAGAGCGCGCCAGTTCTACACATGTCATTGGCGTACTGCTCGAGAGCGATAAGTGAAGTGTACTCACAACGCCACCAGTATACCTGTATCGACCATGCGGGTCGTACATGGCCGGTACGTCGACATTACCGCGGTGGATGATCCAGTACTGCAGACGGACTGGGTCAACATCTTGTACACGTCGATCAGAGGTGAGACGTACGTCTGCGACCATGATGCCAGCAATAGGACCGAGGAAGACGGTATAGCCGTTCATAAAGCTCAAGAAGCCTGTTGCGCTCGCAAGGATCTCCCAAGGAGCGAGCGCCCAACCGCCAATGATTGCGCAGATAATCTGGCCACGCCTGTGCGAATAGAGTGAGACTTCGCGCATGGTATGCAGTGAAGATGGCGCATACCGGATGTTGATCCACCGGGGCGCAAGCGCAGTCATATCATTACCCGCGCAAAGACTGTTGGCGGAGATGTTCGTGCCGAGGGTGGTAAGCACGAAAGCAAAAGAGGCGAAGAACGCCGCGGCGCGGTTGTCCCACTTGTCAATGAGCTGTTGGTGCGATCGTGAGTGATGATTCTCCAAGGGTACAGAACGCAGAGCGTACCGTGAGAGGGTCCCAAAGCGTCGCGCCGTAGAGTACCTGGCCGGCGGATGTTACGGCAATACCGACAAAGCTGAAGAAAGTGAAGACGACGGGGATGATGATGAGTTGTACGTATTGCGCGCGTTCGTCTTTCGCGTAGCGCTGTGCCACTTGTCAGAACAAAGTTTGATGGAGGAATGGAGCATAAGAGGCGTACAGTAAAGTCCGGAATGTTGACTGCTAACGTTGCATAGATGCCGAGCGCGGAGTTGAGTGCGGAGAGCCAGGCCCACGAGAGAGAGGCACCGTGCAGGCTGGCGTGATCCGCGATGAGACCTGCGTTGGAGGAGGTCGGAACCTGAAAGATAGGCCCATATCTGAGTCAAAAGCGTATTGCCACTGGCGTGTGGTGCACATACCTTGACGAAGGCCCAGATGAGCATAGCGAGCCATGTCGGAGGTACAATGATAGCCTTGAGGACAAAGAGCCAGCGGATGCGTTGCGGTGAGACGAACATGAGCGGGAACTGTATATAAAGATCAGCTGAGAACGGAGGCGAAGCATGATAGTGCACGCACCTGGATGAGCCAGTAGAGGAAGTAGCACATCATTCCCGCCGTTGTGATGTGCGCGTTCTCAGGTAGACCGTTGTGTAAGCGTGCGAGCGAGGGCCATATAGCCTTGAGCATCTGCAATGCCCCTTGAGTATGCGTCGCAATGGAACATTGAGATACACACCTGGTATACACACTCGCTCCCGGTATAAGTCTGGATCCCAAACCAGAACATGCTCAAGATCACACGACTGATGACCGAGAAGTAGCTCAACCAGAACCCAAAGCTACTCCGGTTGAGCACCGGGAACGGGATGTGCAGGCGCGCGCCAACCGTTCCGTTCAACACCATGATAACGGCGATGATGATATGCCCAACCGCTATCGCGGGCACGGCCTGCCGCCAGCTCAACCCGAGCGCAAGCATAGACGACGCGAGCTCCCACACGGCCGCGTTCGTCGCGTCGGATATCCAGTACGCAATATACGAAAGCGTAGTCCATTTGCGCTCTGCAGGCGGGACGGGATCCATGTCCGCATTGGTGTAGCCGCGCAGGTGAGACGGCGCCAAGCTGGACGGCGCGGGATCGAGGCGCCAGGCCGAGGGCGAGAGGTAGGCGCGCGCGACGGAGGCCATGGCTGCGCGGGAGAGGGAGTGCTCGGAGCTCGAGAGGTTGAAATCATAGTGGAACTGCGAGTCTTATAGTGGGCGCCGCTGGTGAGAAGATTGTGAGGATAGCCGTACGGCAGAGCGAGAGATAAGAGACGCGCTCACGTGGGCGCGTTCGAGTGCGTTTATGGAGTACGGGTCAAGGACGCGATACGATTCGGCGGACAGGTCGCGGATCATTGATGCTGTATAGGCGCTCTACGAAGCCGCTGTGAGCTGTGTGCGCGCTTGAGCTCGTCGTCGAAGACGACGCCAGCGAGCCTGAGGCCGATGATTCGAGACAGGACTCAGGCTAGATCGCGCCCAGCCAAATACGGCGATAATACGGAGATCTTGTCAATGAGACAGCAATATATCACTCCCTTGCGATGCAGCATGACCGGCGGTATATGTTTATTCGCGATAAGGGTCGCTCAGGCCGATGAAGGGAGGAAGAGAGAGGCACAGAAGCTGCGGCGACAAGGGTTCGAAAGCCGCGTGGTGACATCACGGACTTGAACACAAGTGCGCCGGCTGGGGCTGGTTGAGACCTTGTAACGAACGACCATGGGCGAACCCTTCGACGTGATCCCGTTTGAGGTCCGTTATATTCTATGCGGCTATACTGTTTCTGAACTATTCTGCAGGATATCGCGGGTGATTGGACGAAGCTGGGCTCTGGCTCGTTCGGAAATGTTTACAAGGGTCCGTGCCGCTGCCGCGCTTAGATCGCATGCGGGGAAGCGCTGACAAACGGCGCGGACAGGACAATACTTGGGAATTGATGTCGCGATCAAGGAAATCCTGCCGAGCAACGACTACGACGTCGGCAAATACTTCGAGCGCGAGTGGCGCCTGCTCAAGGAATCCCGCCACCCGAACGTGGTTCTCTACCTCGGCCTCTCCCGCGCGCCCGATCCGGACGGCCGAGTATTCATCATCTCGGAGTTCATTGAGGCTGGAAACGTTAGGCAATATATCTGGGACAAGTCCAAGCCGTTCCCGTGGCGGCTGAGGGTCAGCTTCGCGACCGACATCGCCCGCGCGCTCGCGTACTTGCACGCTCGCCGATGCATTCACCGCGATCTCAAGGGAGAGAACCTACTTGTGACCTCCAACGGCCGCTTGAAGATCACCGACTTTGGCTTTGCCCGCATCGCCGCCCGCTCTGCAGAGGAATCCCGCCGACTGACGTTCTGCGGTACCGATGCGTACATGAGTCCGGAGATCCTCCGAGGCGACGAGTTCGACCTCCCGACGGACGTGTATAGCATGGGCGTCATCTTGGCCGAGATCGCGGCGCGTAAACTGGCGGATGATCGCACATTCAAGCGTGCAGCGCCAGGATGGAATATCGACGAGCAGGAGATCCGCGAGCTCGCTAGCCCAGGATGTCCCGACGGCTTCGTCCAGCTTGCCATCGATTGGTGAGTCTACGACTTCTTTGCCTTCGGGTCTCCCCACGCGGCATAGCACACCGGCGAAGCTACGCCTTGTGTTTCATCCGCCCGCACCGCATGGCCCGGCCCGTACGCCCGAAGCTGACTGAGTCCTTCCATTCAGCCTTGCAGACAACCCGTCAGCGCGCCCGACGACGCGTCAGATTCTTGAGCGCTTACGCGCTGTTGAGGTGGAGATCCTCAGCCGTCCTCGTGATGGCGAGGATATCCATACTGGCAGCATAAAGTTCCTGACTGGTGCGGATCATCTTGGCACGTCGCTGTTCGATGCCAATGGATGTCATACAGGCGCAAAACGACCCGGTGCTGGCCCGCGGATACCCAGCTTTGGTATGGGCGTTGCGAAGGACATTCGTGGTGGCCCGGATAGTGATAGCGAGGAGGAAGAGCTCAGGCAAGCCGTTTTGGGTCTGCAAAGCGTCAGCATCGGTAGTGGTACGTTTGATGCGTTTGATTCTCCAGCTTATGATGACTGATTATGCACCCAGGCGACTCACAAGAACCACTCATTCGCGACGAATCACTCAGCACCGCATCTGGCTTCTCGGACTACAGCACAACCGTCATCCGCTCACGCGACGCGCCACCCGCGCTCTCCAGCATCCTCACTGTCCGCGCATCCCCAAATCCTGCATCCCCTCCAGCCAGCATCGACGCAAACGGGACATCGTCGTCGATATACTCCAACGCCGAGAACGGTCACACGGGCGAGCCGAGCGCGGCGGCCAATACGGCCAGTATGGTCACGATCGACAGTTTCTATACCGCTGGGGCACAGAGCGGCATGAGCATTGCGGCAGCGACGGAGGGTGGGAGCGAGCTCACGGCGAGAGACGGACAGGCGAAGGCGGAGGAAGTTGTACAGACTGTGCATCGGTTCACGCTTGTAAAGGCGGGCGCGAAGAGGACCTCGAGTCCAAGTGCCAGTGAGGTGCGTATCATCATATCGGCGTTATGTGTTGAGGCGAGACTGATGGGTATCTGTAGGGATGGGGCCCGCTGGAGTTCTTCCGCTCAGGCTTGTTGGGGAGTACGGCGAAGGCGAAGGCGCAGCAGGCGGCTGAGTGCGATGTATGTGGGAAGAGGCTGGGCAAGAAAGCCGTGCTGGAGTGTGACGATTGTGGAATGAAGTACGTGCTCGCTTCGCTTCTTTCTTTCGCTCCTCCAGGCCTTTGGGCTAGTTTTGTGGGACCGTCCTTGGACTGGCCCACGACCAGGGCGCCCCGATTGCGCTCATGTACTGGTGGTTCCGTGGGCTAGCTCGCCGAGGTCTCAGTCGCGATCTCGTCTCCCGGTATACTGGATTGCTTGCAGGCATTCGCGTCTTCGCTTGATACCTGTCTCTGTGCGACCCATACCTTTTCGTCTGATGCTGACACATCCTGACCCTCTAGATCACATCTCAAATGCGGCGATGCTGCTCCGCTCGATTGCGGCTATCGCGCGCTCGCAAATGGTCATACACATCACGCCCCGACACCACCCACCGCTGCACCGAGCTCTCCACCTGCCGGCAAGAAAGGTGGCCGCAAATAATTTCGTTGCAGGCTTCAATCACAGTTACCCAATTCTTCCTCTCGCATAGGATCCACAGATACGATGTCCATTACCATATTGACGACCATGATCACGATTCCCACGATGTCCATTTCCAGCTCTTGTCCCCTCTCTCCATCTCTTGAATTCGACTCATCACATGGACTCGATTCCTCAGAACCAGACATGCATGCATAAGTATCTATATCACCCCAGAATTGGACGTAGTATATTTGGTTGATGAAAGCAATAATGGCTTTTCTGTATTGCCCTTGTTGTGTTGTGTTATGTGTATGAATGTTATGATTAATAATGAGATTACTGTAATAAATCGACCGAGTGTTCGTAACGAGTAACACCTACATCGGGAAACCACCCCCCTATTCGGCCGGCCTCAACCGATTTTCAGCCGCGGCGCGTCCTCAAAAGTCCTCAACCGGCCTCAACGAGCTCTCAGGCCTAAATGGCAATTTATTTGCCATTCAGCCGCGTCTCAGATCGACTCAAAAGTCGTATACGATGTATATGTATATATTTGCAAAATACTCATTTGAATTTATTCAGTGTGATTTCTTAATTTCTGGCATTTCAGTATGAAGCAAACAAATGGTATTCATTGTGATGTATACTACTGGTAAATACACTGTAGACTATTGGCAGCCGAAACGAGTATACCTGGGGACATAGAAACAATAGAACCCTATTTACACCTATATACGACAGAACAATACGTGCGGGCGTGACAAATCTCGATGCCGACCGTCGACTTTGCAGCAAGTCTCGGGCCTCGGCTCTGCTCCAAAGCTAGGATGACAAGCGCGGGGGACAGAACACAACTTGTCCAGCGCAAAAGACAAAGTCATGAACAATATCGGCGACATCGTTTGCTGACAGCTGGGCACGACACGGCACATCCATACCAAGCACCTCCGAGCCTGAGTGCGGAGGCGGATGGTGGTGCTATCGCAGCGCACAGAGCGCACACGCCGTGGTGCGAGCGGGGCGGGTAAAACCGCTGCCGAGCGCGTGCCCGGCGATTACGTCAGCGTGGATAGCGCCAAATGTCTGGCTCGCCGCCAGCGACCTCGGCGTGGTAGTCCGGGGCGATGTGTGTGGGCGCACATGGCACGGCGACGGACGCGGGCGGGGCTCGAGCGGTGGAAGACACTGAGGTCGTTAGCCCGACCTCTGGGCGGCGTGGAGACTCGGCGGGGGGAGCCAGCGCAGATCCCACTTCAGCTGAAAGCGGCGAGGTTGCTGCCGTCGGGGGCGGGGTGCTACCTCGTACTGCATTACCCACGAGGGCGATGGGCATGCAGAGGTGACGGCGCGCGCTAGGTCGTAGTTTGCCGGCGAGGAGGCGCTCACCCTGGACGCGTATGCCCAGAGGTCGCGTGCTCCACACCAGCGCATCCTAAAAGCGCGCCTCGGCAGATGCGCGACGAGGGCAGGAGGGACGGAGGTCGACACAGGAGGACATAGAGAAGGCACGGGCAAGAGGGGGGAGGCGAGGCGAGTTGGAGGCGGGAGCGAGGTGAAGACGGAAACGAACGACTCGCGCGCGCGCAAGACGGCCCGAAATTGTCACATGCGTGACGCGTCATCCGGCCACTCCGACTCATTCCGAGTTCTACATCAACTTCAACCGCCACCACCACCACCTCTCCTTCGTTCGCCCGCCCGTCCTTCCTCGCCTTGGCCCCGCCGCGCCCTCGCACCATTGGCTCTTGCCGCGTGCTGGCGGCCCCGCCGATGCGGAGAAGGCTACCCTCGGGCATGCGCGCTCGGGGCAAGCTCTCCCCATCGGCAGACTTTGCCTATGCTCTCGCACGCCAGCAAGAGTGCGACCTCTCGTCCCTCGCCGCCCTGCTGCTTTCTGCATGAAGCACTCGCTCTGCCCGCAAGCACCTGCCTGCGCAGCATCTACTCGAGCAAACTCGGCCTTTCCGCATGCCCACGCTTGTGACGTGGCAGACTTGGCGCGACATTTGTGGTTTTCCTGGTACGCCGCCACCTCATATGTCTTATGTCTTGTATACCAGCTTATTGTGGCATGCAGCCTTATCTTATGGCGAGCTAGTGAGCTGCTGCCGTCTGCGTCCATCGCACGAGCATCACGCTCAGGTTACTCCCAGCGACTGCAAGGTGCGCTCTTGCACATGCTCACTGATTTTGCCATGTTCGCTAACCTTGCTCTTGACAGTTAATCATTGTGTACACCCGCCCTATTAATGGTAAGCTGCGTGTTCAAGTTATTTTGATATCTACTCATGTTCGCAAGATTTTTCTTAGGGTATCGTGGTATCGTTAATCTCCTCACGCAGGAGACCCTGCATTTGGTAAGTGTCTCATTTGCCTGGCCCATACCTACCAGTTTACTCACGGCTTACTCAGAGTTGCCGTTTGCTGGTGGTAGGCCTGTTGTAAACATAATTTGAGGGGAGACTTGTCATAATATATCTAGACACTGCTCTAATGCTTGTATTTATTTTGGATTACTCTAATAAATTGGGGGTTTTTTCATATTTTTGAGTTGTGAACTTCGCAGTGAGAGCAAGTGCATCATAGCCATTGAGCGAGTGCACTGTGAGTACTCCCTGAGACTCATCGAGCACTCGTTGAGCACTCGCTGAGCCCTCGTTGAGCACTCGCTGAGCTCTCAGTGAGTTTTCGGTGAGTTTTTGCTGAAATGCAGAAAAAGACCTAACCTCTCTTTTTTGCGTCTCAAACCATCTCGGCGCTAAACCGTTTTTCATTGAGTCTCGCCGAGGCTCACCGAGACCGTTTGAGTAGGGGGGTGGTTTTCCAGAGTAGTTGCGAGCAGAATACTTTGGGCCGATCAGTAATACCTGCTCGAGCAATCTGAACAGCAGATTTGTTACTAATGGTTCGGATGACAGTAAGAGATGAACTCACATACCTCTCACAACAGGGATACTGTATTTTTTTGATTGTAAGTTCACCTCTAATAGAGGGGGACAGGGGACACAAAATAGGTTTGCTTACAAGTAAGTTCATCACTACCATCCATGGTAAGTTTGATGGCATTTGAAAGGGTTGTTGCGATATTTCTGTGGCTTTATAAGCAATATTTTCCTGGTCCTGAAGGGATCTAGGTTTCACAAGCAGTAATGCTTGCCATGTACAGTTTTCCCTAGTTGTGGGAGAGAGGTGACGTAGATAGTCTCTCAGTGATGTCATCAATCTCGATACACTTTCGGCCAGAATCTAAGTATTCATGTGCTTTTCTTTTCTAGTACTGGGCTCTACCCTCTACAATCATGGAAGTGAGTTGGGGTTCAGCAAGAGCGACGACATCAGTGACTTTCATATCCGAGCTGGGTGCGCGAAACCAAGAGGCGCGCGGATCACGACTCGAGGTGAGCGCGCCAATAAGAGCGCGCGAGAGAACTAGACCTTACCACGGTAATGCTTGAACTATCCTGTATAGTAGCCTGTAGTGCAACCGGTCGCAAGGCATCGGCAGACACTCCGACTTGCATCACAAGATTCCGGGACCAGGGACGCCTGGAAGGCCGTACTATGAAGGGGGGACAGGGACAAATCATTCCATAGGTTTGTGTTCACTGGGCCTGGGGACAGGGGACAAACTTATAATTGAAAAAATACAGTACGGGCATCACTATATGTCTTGTCACAAGTATTAAAGGCAGCTGATTGCCTATGATTGTGGCTGACTAGGGGAGTTGGAGGAACAGGGAGCCTAAAATCTGGGCAGGTGATGATTAAGTAGTGGGTAAGTAGGTGTCCATCTACTGGTGTGCCAGAATGCCGAGATGCTGAGTCAGAAAGAAAAGAATAAGAAAAGAATGAGAATATTGCTGGATCATGTGATGGCTAAACCACGGCATTGCGCCATTGTGAAATGGATTTACCAAAGCCCCTCCGGGGCACTACTGGGGCCCTCTTTCCTTTTGGATAGCAATGAATGTGGTGGACAATTTATTGAATAGTAAGCAATTTACTAGACTGTTTGTGCCACAAGTTGTATGCTTGATAAATTACGCTCATGTCTACGACTGAATTAACTATGCACTTATTATATGGTCACCATTCCACCGTCACAGAGTTGCCATCCAAAGATGTGTCGTGATAGACGCTACCCTCATAGGAATCGTTGCTCAAAACGCTCGATGGTGGAAGGGATGCGAGTTGGGAGTAACTATCCATCTGGCTATGTTCTGACATCGCTATGTCTGACTCCATGTTGCTTGAGCGTCCATTGATGTCTCCTGTGATGAACCTGCGGGTCATATTAGTTCTGGTTGAGAGATGAATACTAGTGTTAACAGATCATGCTGACGACATCCCATGCACGGGCCCTGTCCTCTTGCCACATTCACATGTTGACCAGCAGCCCGTTGTTGATCGCGCCTGCAAGAACGAGCATTTCTCCACACCACCTGAAGCCGAGCATCTCTTCGATTGGTTCAGATATCTGGTAGGACTTGCAATTGTATGAAGCGAGTACTAAGTAACGGCACACATTGGGCAAGGTCACATAAGTTGTTTCTGCTCTGTCTTCCCAAAGGGAGCACCGTAGGACCATGGTGTGCCCGTCGTCGATGTTGAAGTGGATAACGTCAACATGTACCCAGCGTGCGAGCCTGTCACAGGGGATGTGTAGTAAGTAAGTATTCCTGGGGGTCAACCGATTGGGACTGGGAAGATCTGGGCCCAGCACATGTCACCATGGGCTGTCCATTAATCCCTTATGCCAAGTACAACAATTTCACTTTCTTGCCTCAGGTGTGCCATGGACTCAAGCGGTCTATCGTACTTAGTGGGGGGTCAGATAATGACCAACCATGATATCAGATACAATCATTTTCTGGCACTTGCCGGTGTGAACAGGAAGATCGCAGCGGCCAGAATGGGCCTCAGCAGGCCAACAAACTGAGCGTTGCTAGCAGCCCTGCCGGGGAGGTCAAGAACAGACCATGTTTATAACTGACATCAAGAAGGTGCGGTGTATTAGACAATACTCTCGTCCACTGCCATGGTTCGGCTGTCACGTGACTCAATAATATCTTTATCATTTTCCCTTTGCTTTTCTTTTCTGATTCAGCATCTCGACATCTCGGCATTCTGGCACATGGACTCTAGACTCGCATGACTCACACCATTCACGTATGACCCGGCCTGCTTACACACCCTTCCCTTGTCAGTAGGACCCGGCTCGCTCAGTCATCCGCCTGCTTGTCAGTCTTTGTCAGCCCATTCCCGCACTACCTTGACCTGTATATAAGACTCTTCCCCCATATATCTAAGCTCCTTTAATTCGTCTATCTTGCAATCTACCCTCTGTGGTGTTCTCCTTTGCTACCTCTGTTCCTGCCATTGCGTACCCTCGTGTTGCCACTGGGTTTCAGCGCATGGCATCTGTCTATCTGTCTGTCTGAGTGCCAATAGCGCGGCTCGGAGATCTTTCCTAAGTGCGGCCCTAGCATTTAGACGAACTCTCCCTACTCCGCCCCGCGCATTATTGACACAGCTGTAGTGGCTTTCTTCCTCATCAACTTTGACACATCCAATCTGAACATCCGCCTGAACCCGCCTTTCCAGCTACCGACCCCATCGTCAACACCAAGAATCACTTCGAGTGGTTTGAAGAGCTCTCCGGCCCCGACTGCATCCGCTACAGCCACGCCTACATACCAGTCAAGAAGGTCAAAGATCGCCACTCCACTCGCACTCACTGGACCTTCTACCTGATTTGCAATATTGGTCCCAACCCATACGCCGGCACCAACAGCAATTGGATTGTCCTTGATGTCCTCACCTTCAGCACCGGCAAACCCTGCATCTCTTGGAACATGGTCATCCACCCAACATATGAACAAGTCGTAGCACGCACCACCCGTTTGCACAGTCACCGCCTCCGCCCACTTCCGCGCACATACTCTGGCATACGTGCTGCCTTCAGTACTTGCTACAATGCCCGCAAGTTTGTGCTTGACCCCCTTCAACACCTGGATCCTCTCATTCTCTGCTAAGTCACCGTGGAGCATCCAAGCGGAGTTTATTTTAACTTCATAGCAAGGAAGCACTTCATCCACCGCATCATCAATAGGCGGCACTACTACATCACACCCAACCCCGACAACAATCCCAACTTCCCATACGTTTGGCTGTCTCGCCTACAGACAGACATCAACATCGGACCTACGCCTGAAGAGATCAAATTCTCTATTACTCGCCCCTACAACTCCTCCCACGCAGAATCCCCGGTACCACCCGCACTAGCCCTACCAATTCTGCACCGGGCCACAATCCCAGTCCCCTCGCAGTTTCGCAAGTCCAGTCCACAACTTCATCTACAACATCCCCCATCATGGCCGACATCATGAACCCGGAGACGCAGACGTTGCAGGAGCAGACCCACCCACTCATCGATCTTGACGAGCGGGCGCCAATCCCTCGGCTCTATCAGAACAACTCCTTCCTAGCCAACTATAGGTCCAATCCATTTCCTTGCAATCCCAACAACCCATTCTGGAAGCACCCAGCAAAGCTGGACAACCAGTTGACTACCCAGCAGAACTCGCAGCAGCAGGACACCCGGGAGGAAGCAAAGAACAACAGGGAGATGGGTGGAACAGACGAGTTGCCCATGGAGTGGTGTTTTCCCCCTGGGCACTTCCGCGGCCGCTATTCGACGATGCCTAGCGAGGCCGGCTCCTACGACTGGAGCGACCTCGACCATTTGGCGTGCCAACCGTCAAACCCAAAGCTTCCCCTCCCCACAGCATTTACAGACAAAGAGGACAATGTGGAGCCATACATTGACCGGACGGCATACTTCATTGAGTTGCACAACAATCGCTTCCGTGAAAACACTGATCAGGTTTATTTGTTCCTCCAAGGTTGCACGGGCACACTCGGTCATCCATGGGCTGCGGGCATCATGCGATTGTACCTCAACAAGCACCACAAGGACGTCGTGCGGCCCCAGGTTGCCACCCTCCAGCAGGTCATCATGCGCTTCCGCAAGCGCTTTGGCATCATTGACAAGAAACGCTATGCTCAGGCCAAGTTTGAACGTCTCCAGCAGGGTTCCCAGAGTATCCGCAACGACGTAGCTGCCTTTGAGCAGCTCGAGTTAGAGGTGGGGGCTGTGGTTGTCCAAAAACTAAGTAAATCATAACCATAGTCAGTGGAACCTGATTAACTGAGCCAGAGCTAGCTACTGAGCCTTGAGCAGCTCAGCCACCCTTTCTGCTTAGTGCTTTGTGACTAATTAGCCGGTATCTGCTTAGCAAATCTGTGGCTATTTACTACGGCTGCTAGGCCCCGCACTCGTACGGCAAATGCCGGCCGATTGGGACACTGCTTTCGGGAGTTACCGCCCACGCCGTCCCGCCCCATCCTGCCTGCTGCTGGCGCTTGTACCCTCCCGCCATGCCAGCGCTTATGCTCTCCCGCCATCAGGGCGCCCATACAATTATGCTGTGCCAGCATGGGCCCGCCCACCAGCACTTATTCGACCGCATTCGGTGTTGGCCCCGGCCTGGCCATATCCGCTCGTCCACCCGGAATACCGCCCCGCCTCTGCTTGCTAGGTACCTATGCTATACTGTATACGCTTTACTACTACCTTCGGAATGCACAGCTGGGCCGGGGTGCACCAAATTTGATTGCTTCGGGGTCCCCGGGTGCAGTGCATTACCTAGCAGCTTCCTTGCCTCCCGCCACCACATCAACGCGTGCCTGTTGTGTGGACAATAGATGTGTATCAAACTGCTGGAATATACACTCGCTGACCTCCCAGCAGATAGCAATACCGCTCGTCTTGTGCTTTAGTAGCCTGCCCAGTGCGTCCGGCTGGACACTCGTTGTACCTGCTTTGCACAGAGGCCACTATAATGTCATCGTCATATATGGGGAATGTCTTTTGGATTGGTATATAGCCAGCCCTGCCCTCAATTCCTCGCTTATATACTTGCAGGTAATTCACAGCTTGCTGTTGTTGGCTGATAACTTTCGGTCTCACGTATTCAAAGTACGTATTTTCCCCCTCGTCCATGCAGCATGTCTCAGCATCCGTTGTGTGACATATCTCTAGGACTCTGCCATGCATATGCATGGCTCATGTACCGTGCACCTACAATTCTACTCGTAGAAGTAGGCCATGACAGCTGGCAGGACGAGTCATCCCTGACTCTAGTTTATGCATATGTACTCTTTCTCTTCTACTCAAATCAGAGAAGAAAAATCCCCATGCCTTGGGGCGCAGCCCCGAGGCATGTTTTGGGTCTGGCTCAGTTCAATATTATGAGTGCTAGATAATAGCCTGTCAGAGAAGAGAAATCCCCACACCACGGGGCTGTGCCCCGTGACATGTTTTGTGTTGGGCACAGCTCAATATTTGTGATAGTGCTGTTAGACCGGCAAAGCCAGCATGCAAAGGTCTATGTATACAGTGAGTTTAGTGATCAAGACTGTAGTAGAGTTCACTATACCAAAAGCCAGGGAAACTTCTGCTGGGCCAGACAACGAAAGACTTGCATTGTTGTGGGATTGCCAGTGGTGAGCGCAATGAAGTTTGCCACATATTCAACACCCATACTGCACAATGTATGCCCCATTGACTCCATAATGTTCTGGGCAGTTGCACAATCTCCGGTGAAGTTGTCTAGACCAAGGACAATGGGATAGTTGCCCATCCAGGCACCAAGATGCCCATAAAGGCCACAAAGAAGCAGATCTTCCCACCCATCAGTCTGATACGTGAGAAGAGAATATTTCTTCAGGTACTCCATATTAGCAATCTATACAGATGCATACTCCATATTGAGGATACTGTGAGATAGGATGAGGTGCAATGTGACTTCATATGCGGGATCAATATATGCAAGAAACTCAAGGAAGTAATGATTCTTGACAGTGAGGAATGTGATGTTACCTGACACAAAGAGCCTGACTGGATTCAGCATCCCTTTTCTAGTGATTGGGGAAATGTATGCACCTAAAGAGACACAGATGAGCTTGATGCTTCTGCTCATCGGTCATTACATAGTCAATCCAGTCCTTGAGTGTCTCACTCTTGCATTTTTTGGGATCAGCACTCCCTTAAGCATCACTGGGCCATCCTTAGAGGCAGCCGGCATCTCTGAAGTAGCTGCTATGGCTGCAACATCTTCAGTGGGAAGCTGAGAAGGCACAATGCCACCAGTAAGAATCTCCGAGCCTTGAGAAGCAGATGAAACACCAAATATAGTCTTGCCCTTCTTCTAACTGCTGTTTGCAAGGAAGTTCAAAGCACGCCAGCACTCCTCAATACTAGCATAGGTACAAGTCAACAGATAGTTGCACAGGGCCCAGTTGCAGGCCTTAAGCAGTGCAGAGTCAGCTGGGCACCAGTTGCAGTGCCACAGCTATTGCCTTTTCGAGTTCTCCATCCAGGTGACCTTCTTAAAGTTATCATTGTGAATGGGATTTCCAGAACAACCTGCAGATTTTTTCGAAGACATGGTGAGGGTAGTAGATGATGAACAATGTTTATTTTGGTCAAACATCACCATCTCCATAGAAAAAAACTTATTTCATACAGTCATTGGTCCGTCTTGAATGAATCAGGCTTGCACGAATTTTGAAGTTTTGACAGGTTCTGCCAAACCTGGGCCGACCGTGCTAATTCTGCTAGGTTTTTGCCATGGTGGACTGGAAAAACAGCACACATCTGCTAATAATACTACCCGGCACATTTCCAGGCTTGGGGTTACTCAATCCCTACCGGTCACTGGTGCTTGCGTGGTAGCATGCGAATAGAATATGTTATTGGCTCCACTTCTCTCTGCTCTAGCTATCACTCATATCAAGAGCATGTAAAGATTGTCTATAGTAAGCACATTCTGTGTGATATTGCCTTCACAATCCCTTTAGCATCTATATGTATTACTTAGTAAAGTGACAGCCACTGCCCGCAATGGCACTGTAGCAATCCTAGCAACATAGTTGCTTGATAGAATATGGCTGTATTGTTGGGCTACTAACATGTGAGACTATAGCTGAGTTGGATAACATGTTGATTTTCAGCTTTGCACAAGATTGTTGGTTCAATTCCTGAGAATGTCAATTTTTGAATAACTTTCTTTGATGAATGTTAATGTATTGTGAGATAGAGAACATTATTGTACATCACAACACTATAGCAGTATACTTTGTAGTTTAAACCTATATCATAAAAGGTAAATTAATAATACCTGTATAGTATTCCCACGGTATGTGATACATACACAAGAATAGTGGGCTCTATAGCTGAAGGGTTACTGAAATAACTTCTGGAAAAATCATAATTTTGGCAACTGTGTAAAATTCCCACGATGTAGTTATTTTCTGGTTTGGTTTGTAGCTAGATAAAATCTACATGTATTCCAAACATTGTGATTCCACTACTCTAGACAAAATTATAGCTAATGGCTCATTTTCCCATAGTGTATAGTAGCTATCATACCTGAACAGAACTTTGTTAAATGTTGTGGCCACATATTGTAAAAACAATTGCAATTCATAGCCTTGGATCAATATTGATGGCAACTGTCTGATATTTCCATGGTGTACAATATATACAGCCCTGCCATTGTACTCTACTACCTATTCAAAGCTGATATGCAAAAACAATCAAGTTTTGAGGCTCCTAGAGCTTTATTGATGGTTGGCTGAGCTTCGGCAATTGCCGGGGACCCGTCGAGAGTTCCCAGATGGGTTCCCGGCAATTGCCGAGGTATTTTTCGATGGATTAAGGGTTGATTTAGATAGATGGCCTGGTAGAGCCTGAAGTATTGCTCTGAGTATGGACATTGTATATACCTTTCTGACACAAATTTCAAGGTGATTCTGATGGTGTAGTCTATTATACAATTGGTGTACTGGTTCCCACGGTACAGTCTAATCATTCACTTAAGTAATAGTGATGAGATAATTTGGTGAGAACCGAACTCCATATCACCAATCAGAGGACCTCAGTGTCTATTGGGAATATTGGAGTGTAGAAGTATGTGTCATATTACTCCTAGGCTCAAAACAACAGTCAGGAGTACTATATCAAGGTATTATTAGTCATCTTAGGCAATGATTGGACTGTACTGTGAAAACCGGTACACAAATTGTCAAATGGACTACACCATCAAACTCACCTTTGAATTTGTGCCAGAATGGTATATACAATGTCTGTGCTTAGAGCAATACTTCAGTCTCTACCAGGCTATCTATCTAAATCAACCATTATTATACTCAGATTAGATCAGATCAGGTCAGATCAGCTCAATCAAGATCAGATCTTCAGACCGAGCTAGACCGATCACATGCTTGGACCAATCAGACCAGAAGTCGCGACACGAGAGTTGTTGTTAGGCGCAAGACTAGAGGGTAACAGCTAAGGTCACTGGGTGACAACTGCTAGGACTAGGAGAATGAACCACGTAGATTCTGGCCTGCAAGAGCGCAAGCACAAGAGGCTTATATACATGCTTGAGTCGTAAACATAGACAAATAGAAGAGGTGGGTCGCAAGGAGTCAATGTGGGTCAGTGAGTCATGGTAGCGTCGTAAGGTCTCGGAGATCCGAGATATGAGTAACTAGGAATCGAGTAAGCGGATCAATGATGCGTGAACGCGGTCACATGAGTTACACGAATGAGACAAGTGAGCGCAGAGTTGTAAACGTAAAACGAGGGCTAAATACGTCGGATAAAAGCAGGGAAAAATACGTCGGATAAAAGCAGGGAAAAATATATAAGGCGTGTCCAAAGGTAAAAGGAATATAGTGCATCAGTCACAGTCACGTATATAGCCAGTAGAGCGTGTGAAAGGGGCTAGTCCGTAACAGTTGTGTGGGAATCACCTTCCTAAAGGCGCCAAATGCTCAGGCACAGATTTTCAGATCTTTGGTAAATCAATGAGTCAGGGATGACTCGTAACTTCGCACCCGTGACCGACTGTCTTTTATTCACTGCTGCACTTCACCTTTGCTCAATGATGTTTCGGCCATATCCTGTACCCAGACTACTCTTTTTTTCTGTATCTACGACTCTAATAAAATCCCTTTGCACCCCCTCCTTGCGAAATTACTGTTGCGTAGTCGCATACATTCGCCCACTTCAAAACTACGTGCACGCGCGCAGGCACGCGGCTGGCTCGGAGCTCAAGCCACGGGTGTTCCTAGGCATTCTGAATTTGGCAAGTTAAACACGACTCGTGTGCACAGCAAGTCAATTAAGTCATGATGTGGACGTCGTCAAGTTTCCTCGCAGGAAGCATTATATTAATGTAGTTGCATTGCAATCCTAATATAAGTGCTGCAAACAAGCTAATGAGACAAGATACAAGGCACAATGATAGCCAAGGACATATATGGAGTCTACAAATCATATACAACCATTACGGGCAGGGAAGGCTCTACCATATGGCCTCCTTGTGTTCTGGCGCAGTAGTTGCGGCCTTTGTCTTCTCCAAATCCCTAAGTAGACTCTGAGCAATACCGTCTTGTTGAATGACGTAGACGAGCTCGCCCATTGCCCAAGTGACCTCTTGCATCATATTGTCAACCTCCTTCTTGTCCTCAATCTCCATAGCAAATCTCCACCACCATCCCAAAGCCCAGATAAAGCCGAGAACACCGTTATAGCCCACGCACAAGAACTCAAGCCACACCTCACCATCCCTGCGAGACTGCAGGTATGGTAGCTTCTCTCCACGCCACTGCAGCTGCAGAGTCTGGTACCATGAGTGCAACCTCAAGCCAAACATCTAAACGTCCTCGATGCTGGGATTGTAACACGTGTGACTGGCCGTGAACCAAGGGCGCCCGCAGTGGACCTAGTCGGTTACCTCTGTAGAACACAGGACTGTGACCATGTGACAGACTTCCGAGCTCTTGGGATATCCAGTGTATCGCTCTAGCTCGGTGTACACATTGACGATACCAGTCTATTCTGTCATGGTGTCGGTGTTGATAAGGTCACACAGCTTCCACGCGATCTCGAGGACAAATGCTCGCTCTGCTGGAGAACTATCTTTGTTGTCTGATGCAGATGGAGAAGAGCATTTAGACACACCATTCTCAGCAGCAGCAATGAGATTGGGTAGTGGCCTGCCGTTGGAAGGCTGGGAGGGGGTGCCAGACGTAGCGTCTGGCGGCGAAGCGTTCTGTCGAGGCGCAGTGGAGGCAGGTGTTGGGTCAGGCTCTGGGATGTTGCATATGGTCTTGTTGACAGATAGAGTGTGAGAGGGCGCTGATTGAACGGTGACTCTGGCAGCATCCGATTTGCATCTACGTGAAGAGCGTTAGGACGAGGAGATGATACATGAAGGTGTGCAAACGTACTTCTTCTTCATCAGCTCAGATACAGTCTTGTGTGTTGACTTCTTCGTAGGGCTACCATCACCATTGAGAATACGCTTGAGCTTGGGATCTAAATCACCTTCATTGCCAGATGAATCTGAGGAAGAGTGGTCTGCGCGATGGCGGCGCTTGGAAGAAGAATGACGCGCTTTGGCCCAGGCATTGGGCTCGCTCGCCTCTGCCAACGCGTTCCTTGATCCCTGCGGTGTTGTGAGCGCGATGGCATCACAGGCATCTTTTGCTACAAGAAAAATGAGTACGCTCCACGTCTTGAATACACATGGACCCACAGAATACTGAACGGGCAAATTCAATCAGTGGCTTCGAAATGTTCTCCTTGTATTCGGGATATGTGTTGGCGAAGGTACAAGGGTCCTTTGACAGTGAAGAATGAAAGCTAATGCTTGTTGTCAGCGTACATACATATATGTGTCTGTAGATGTACTCACGAGAATGTCTGTAACCTGCCGCCGTGGCTTGGGTGCGGTCTGACAAATGTCATAATGCACAGCATGCCGGTCTGTTTGAGCAGCTGGGTCGGCAATTTGCCGTACAACCATTCAAGTAGATTAATATTACTATAAATGGGTGAGCTAACACGTCAGATGACAACAAGATGTGGGCGATGTACTCCTCAAGCTGAGTTACTCTGGTAACGCAAAGCGCCTCCTCCTTCGCATCATTGTCGAGATCCCTCTCCTCATTGGAATCCAGCTTCACCTCCATCGTCACGCTCTTTGCCCCAGGCGCCTTCTCCCATGCTTTCTTGATCTTCTCCCATAACTCAGACATGGCCGTTTTGAGATCGGCTTTAGTGCGTTCGACACGAGACCTGATGAGTGGGGTCTTCTCAATCTCAGCCTTTGTCACGGTTAACTTCCACTCCTCATAGGTGTCCCATATAGTGTTGTTATAGCTATTGCCTTGAACCGACATGAAAATCTGCTTGCGGTTGGGCTTGCAATGAGGAGCAGCTTGCGGGAGACGAGCGCGCGAGGCCTTAGAAACGATTGCGCTTGAACCGCGTACACCGTTCTTATTCCGGAACCAAGTCTTCAAATACTGTATAATGATGATGCAGTGAGTAGGGGATGCATTCATTCAATAAGATGTACTTACAGTGAGCAGGTCCGGCTCCCATAATGGGTCCTCCTCGCGCAGATTCTTCTTCTTGGTGCTCTTGATGTTGGCGTTGACATGCTGGCCTTCAACGGCAATGGGCGGGGCGGCAGCAGCTGAAAGTCGTGAATATACAGCATATCTTGCAAGATGAGGTACGTACCTGCTACCTCTCTGACCTTCCTGCATTCCTTTTTGGCGGCTAATCAATGCTTCTCTTCTGCTTTGCATTCAGGATGCGCCATGGTAAACTCATTATAGAACTTGTTCTAGAAGTTGGTCTTCCTCGCTCCTGTACTGCCCTTCAAGCCTTTGTACTGGGGAATGGCACCACGTAAGGTAATCAGCTCTTCCTTGTGAACACGGGCTTAGTGCTCTAGCGTTGGATGACCACAAGCGCAGGCTGTGGAGGAATGGCCATAGAAGATGGAGTCACCTCGGCGCCGCCAGCACCAGGTAAGGGATCTTTGTCGCCTTTCTGGGAAGTAGACTGATTCGCGCTGGAAACTTCCAAAGCAGCCGTAGTCCGTTCTAAGGCAGATGAGGGCTCAGAGGACAGCGGTACAGCTGGTGTCTCTGGGTTGGTGGTAGGCGATTCAGACATGGCTATAGCTGAGGATTGGCAGGTAGCCGAAACATAGAGTCCTGCGTATGTATATTGTGCTGCGCAACATTCGCTGGAGGAGCACCATTTCCTTTTGCGGATCTGGATAAGCAACACGCAGTCACTGAGCACTCCTTCCCGCATGCTGGTACGTCTTCACCCTTCATTTTGGGAAATCTGTCAACGGCCAACTGACAGATCATATATATAGCCAAGCTGGCATGGACGCAACTTGTCTCCGCCCATCATAACACTTGCGAGTTGCCCGGATCTCGCCCTTGGACACTTGCGGTGCCTGCTTCAGTTGCCACAATATTGTCCATCCGTCTGTCTCTTTTCATATTCTATTCTAGCCTTTATCCTCATTGTGTCAATAGAGCCACGCAATTTAAACAGGAGAGTTGGACCATGGATCCCTCTACCGCCTGGCGCCTCCTTCTGGAGGATTCAAGTCGTCATTGACAGCCACAATCCGGGCATATCCACAAGCTGGTAGGTACCTTCTTGCCAACTTACCGTCCGCTGCTATGATTCTGACTTCCATATAGGACCAGGGCTTTTGATGAGGTACTCGGCTACAACAATGCTGTCTATGAAGGGTTTGCCACTTGGCCGCAGGCCCTCTATCATTGGTATTATTCGCTCGCGGCTGCAGGGTGTCCTATAGTGATTCCTACTGTCAACAGGCCACCTATCTACACGCCTCCCACTCCTGCGCCTCTCCTGGCTCCTGTCGCTCCCGCGCCTCCCACGGCTCCTGTTGCCGCCACTGTCATGGTCGGTCACCCATGTTTATTTTATTTTATTTTTATTTTTATTTTCTCATGTTTTCCACTTTTTGTTCATGTTTTGCCTGCTTATGTGATATGATCACACTTCTTTTGATGTCCCTTTAAGTAGCTGGTCTCGCATGTATCTTACAAGTAGCTTGTCAATTTGCATTACTTCCTGAACTTGCTCGTCACTCTTGCCCGCCTAGCGGCGGCCCCGAGGGGCTCATTGTCATGTCCTAGGGCCAAACCCTAGTAGCCGCCCTGACTTTCGAAGTTCAAATGGACGTGACGTCTTCTGCCGAGCCTCCGGCTTACTCTGTGGAAGCAGACGCCATCCCCTTGGGCAATGCATCGCAGGTTTGCACGTTCAACATGTCAACTCCCGCCGGTGCTGCCGTTACAGCACTCACTCAGCTTCATATTGGTTTGGACATTCTAAGGAGTGAGCACCACTACCCGTAGTCCGTGGGTTGCAACTCCTGGGCAACTATGCCCAATGGGGTTGCAACCCCCCCTCCAAGTTGCAACCCCTTGCTTAGAGGCCACACCACCGACAACTTAAGGATAACCTCAAAATGTTCGAAAATACACTAAATTCACACAAATTGGGTCATAAGTGTATATTTTTATTGGTGGCAATTATAGCAATGACCATTATACAAGCTATCTACTCATACGAGTTGCGAATTACGAAGAGGAAGCAAATGACAGCGCGAGTATGTGTTAATGACAAGAGAAAACAGACCAATAGCAAAAAAGTAGCCGTACTGGAACGAACTCCGCCACTCGCACAGAACCTCCCACTGTACCCTAACAGGAACCAAAACTACCTTGAACACATATTACACAGGCGCTCGAGGACAAAGCTATGCGAAACAGTTTGAGTCACAGTGTAAGATCAAGATACGAAATAAAAGAACATACCGTCAAGGAGTCCAGAACGGGCGGTTGCGCCTGTGGCGGGACAAGAATACACAACTTGTGCATGAGAAATCAGACTGGCCATAGATAAAGGTGTGATCCTGAAGGGGAAGTCAACCCTTATAGAAAGATGCAAGTGCGGGGAGCAGATGGGGGTGGCACGATGACGGTGGCGGGGACGGCCATCTATGAGTGCGTAGGTCCGAGGTGGGATATAAGGGCCTGCAGTAAGTCATATTAGGCATGGGAGAGGAGGACGCGAGGGCGGAGACAGACGACATACAATTTAGGCCCAGGCAGGCGAAGCGCGGGTGCGAGCGGGGAGATGGCACGAGGGACAATGCAGAATCCGTCAGACCGTGGACACGCTCATAAGCTGATAGACAATGAGCCCGGCAGTAGCGGGTGCTACAGCTATGAGTGAAGACGGGCTGGACGACGGGCAACAGGTGGCAAGTGCATGAGCGGGGCAAGGAAGGTGAGGGGAGAAGGCAAAAATCGGGCCATGGTTGTCAATTCGCTAAGTAATTAGTGGCTATAGTCAGTGCAGGCCTGTTAAGTGAGCCACTCAGCCACCTGGCTCTTATTGGCCTAAGCTGATAATTAGCGATAAATTCGAATATATCTAATGCATTATTACCTACCTAAAATAATAGGATACTGGCTCAAATACGGCACCTGCCGAGAGCCAGGAAGCCATCAATATTGATGGGTAGGCTCCCAGGCCTTCCTCGGCACCTCCCGGGCTCGCCCCTGATGGCCCCTTCGGCCCGCGGGCTGCTCGGTGGTGCCTGCTGGCCATCCCG